ATGTCACATACCAGTATTGTATATATATATACCACCAGTCCTGTACTCCTGTTCCACATTTATACGTATTTCTTTAAAAATGGACTGAAATCAATTTAAATTAACCAACTCATTGTCGACATAATATCTTTTAAATATACGGTGAGTGCTTGAGTCTAATATTATTATGTAACATTATTTCATTTCAGGCAAAATAATTGTTATTAAATAATGAGATCCCGTCCGTTCTTTCTCATAATATAGTAATCTTGTTATTTTCGTGTTGTTTTGAAGTATTTTTGTATTGACACCTAATTAAGTTTATATCTACATCATGTTTATAATAAGACATAATATAAACTAACATTATTTGAGATTTTGAAATAAATGGTTGGGTATATTAATAACAAGCATGTTTTATGAATAACTAAAAACTGTAGTAGAAAAATAAATGATTTGATAAAATGATTTTTTTTTGTCATTGCAAATAAGAATATGTTCACATTTTAATAAATAAAAAATGGATGAAAAAACAATGTTCAAGCTACTTGACCAAATATGATTCCAAATTGTCTGTAGTGTTAGGGCTGTTAGTGCCACCCTATCTATTTTGATGGTTGTAACCATCACAGCAATTGAGATATTACGAATCTGCTTTTTGAAATGTTTCGTTGGACAAGTTTCTATTAAAATTAGTTCAATACATTTTTTTTTTTAAACACATGGTTTGAGTCCCATTTAAACCCATAATTTCTATAAATAAATTTACCACTTTCATATTTCATTCTAGTTAAAACACAGAATTACGATAGAAACATAATAATATGATCTTATAATATTTTTAATTTTGATACCTACTTAGTTCTATTATACTGGTGTACAATTTATTATACCAAATAATGAAGATTAAAATTAGCTTTAATAAACTGTTCATCGATGATGGAGTGTTATGTATAATATTGTATATTGTATACATAGTTATTGCATAAATAAAATAAAAAAATGCAAGGCAAGACCAATTTATTGGATCATACAGATAGACCAGTATACCATCTACATAGGTACACTAGTACACTATGCATGTACATAATATTATAACATACTTGTACCAGTCTTACCTAGGACCGGGAATTTTTGAAGATGTACGTATTATAACAGTATAATATAAGTGAGTACTTACAAAATCGTGATACTACCAACATTAAGGAAAATAAACAATTATAACACACTCCATAACTTCATTAAAAAAAAAATGTTTTAATTATTATTATCATTTTCTAAAATATAACGGGACTAAACTACATAACTGCACTAATAGTTCCTATGCACCAAAAGTAATAATTAATTATGCTATCGCACGGAGCTCATTAAATAATACATTTCGTTAATTTTATATACCCACACAAATACATATAGTTAAGGTCATTAACTAGTTTTGATTTTGGCAAAGGAGGCTATATGTGTATAATGTATAGACTGTATGTCTGCAGTATACACATATATGGTATTGTAATAGTATATGACTTTATAGTTATGGTTTTGCGGAAGCTGGACACTAGAAATCAACTATTGGTTCTAACCTACAATACCTGCAGAAGCAATAACCAGTCGGACAACACTAACCGATTTATAAAGATTTTTTACTTTAAAAAAAAAAACCATAATAATGTATTTCGTAGTACCTATATAATTGTATTATATATATCGGTATAAATGTACAATACTATAATTAAAATATTTTGCTTCGTAAATATTGCCTTTTGATTTTTTAATACACTTTATCACTACAATATAGTTATTAAATAATAAAATAAATAAACAATTTAACTAAAAAAATATTTTTTTACTTAGAATACATGTTGGGTAAACCTACATCAGAGCAGCACATCATTACATTTTATGTAACAATTTATTATGTTCTTTTATTTTTTGGTCACTAATCTTAATGCTTTTAAACATTAACATAAACTATTTTATACTATTATTTAATTAAAAAAATATATTTCCAAATGTATACAGTTAGCTGCGTACTTACTTGCCTCCTACTTATTGCGTCTCCTCAAAAGGTAAACTAATCAGGTACAGTAAATTCAATAAAAAAAATTTGCTGTTCCATAATATAATTCAAATTGTCGACATCGATGGTGTATCAAACCTCCATGGTTGTTGTTATTGACTGTAAAAATATCTTTCTTAAACATTCATTAGAGATACACAACCTATAAATATTATTTTTACAATGATAGATAACAATGAACTATAATGAAGGTGTAATTTATACTCGAGAATAACTTAGAAGAGTTGAGTTTAAAAAGTTACCCCCAATGGTAGCACTATAAGAAGAGGATATTAGAAAAAAAATTCAATTGAAATAGTGTCTCTACGCCATTAGCGTTAAAGTCTCCTGGTTGGGTTTTTTAGATAAGGTGTCGGAATTTAGCTAGATAATTAATGGATTATGCTGGGATAGAAAACGTGAGCAGAAAAACGAAGAGGATTAAGTTTTAGTGTTTATATGTGCAAGTCTAAGTGGTTATTCAGTTAATTATAGTAATAGAAAATGCAAACTATATGATTAATATTTAATATTATTATAACCAATAATATTTTGGGCAATCTTTAAAAATATATCATATGTTATAAGTATATAACGAAAAGCTTAGCAGTTGATTTCAAGTTCAGGTATTATTATAAACGAATAAATTATCATATAAACGTGGGTAATTATGGACAGTGACGCAAGTTACTTATGACCTTTCTGAACCTTTTTTATTCGGACACAACTTATTGACTGGTTATAATATTTCTTACGCAACCATAGTATCCAATATCCACGCACAAATACAGATTACTTGCATATAAATAAATAAGTGTGATTGTTTAGTTTTGTGGTTTAATTGCCGGAATCTATAAAATATAGTACATACCATTCGAGCACCATGCAGTTAATTGTATGCAAAACCGACGGAGAAACGCATGTGAAGATTTGCGAAAAACGTACAATATTCACACACCATTAAAGTGACCAAACCACTTAACATGATGACGTGTTGATCGGATAACGCGATACGCGGATAAAACGTGTTCAAATTTCAGGAAACGTTCGAATCGGATATTATTCATATTCCTCGTTCGCCTATATATATTATATTGTATATGAATTATAAATACCTAATAATGACAACGTCCCGTTGCAATAAATAATGAAAAAAATCTCGAGAGAATCTCTGGAGTGAGAGAGAAGGAAAAGGATAATATGGTGTTATGGTGTCAACCACCGTTGTATAGCAGTTTCTAGGTGTTTCGCAAGATTCGGCAAGGTCACATTGTTCGAGTGCGTGTCCGAAATACAAACGACATCCCACTAATATATGTCACATCCAGAGAGACAGCTTGAACATACTTTTTGTAGTTTCATATTATACGAAACACCAAAATTCTAGGACTTAACATTTAAATTACTTGCATTATGACACGCGCTTTGTACAAAATGTCAAGTTTGCGGTGGCACTCTGTTTTATAAAATATACTGCCCCGGCGCTGCAGGTTTATACTATTAAGGAATAAGTATATTTAATATTATATATAGGGACTATAGCAGAGTGACGAGGATGTGGGATTAGTGGATTACACATCCTGGATATTCAATAATATGCTACTTATATATAGGATACAGGTATACCTTCAAATCACGAATATATCCTGCTTACTTATAATTATTCTATTCATAATTATATAACACTTTACTTCTTACATCCAGTACAATAACCATTTTCCATCAAATTTCTTCCTCAAATGTTTATTAAGTGCTTATTTTGTCATATTAGTCAATATAATTTTATATTGATTTTAACTCTCGTAGACCGATTTTTAGAATTTATTGACCACTCTCTTCTTATTAAAGTATTAGCGTTTTAATAATAACTTAGTGCTCCTGCTTCCTCTAGCATTTATTTTGCATGCTTATGAGTTGTTACCATGTTATAAGTAAAAGTGCTTTATCAAACTTTCTGAGCAATACAAATATCATTTTATCTTAATTATGTTAATCATTATGTAGTATAAATACGACTCAAGAAAGCAGTGTTCGTATTATTGTCATTTATTTTCAGGATTCGGTTAGATCGGCATCTGCAAGCATTGATAAAGACTGCATAACATTTACGCACAGACATATTTACATCCCGAACATTTTAAATACTTGTCTGCAGGTAACGTCGATTAACTGTTGGTGGTAGCATTTATTAGGCACCGTAGTATATTATAATAAGACATACATTTATAACCACTATACTATATCTTCAGATTGAATGTCTATTTTCAGGAATTTGCAAAAAAAAGGTAGGTACCGACCTACTTATAAAGTTTTAAAAGTTTTATTTTCATTTCAAGTGGAATTTTACCTATTACATTTTTGGGGCACGTGTTTATGAACACATTTCGGCAAATACCCGAGGTATACACCTCCTCACTTCGGACCTCACGCGTGCCATCGGCGCAATATGGTCCGCCACGCGTTTCGACAAACCCACACGTCTCGTTCTATAGATCACAATAATAATGTATCGTCTGCGAGTGGCGAGCGATTTATTATGAATTAAGTTATTGGAATCCGATAAATAATAGATGAAAGAGCCATAATGTAGTACACAGGCCGGACGATATTGCAGCGAGGACGACACAATAATAAAACGTATACGTATATGATATTTTGTACTATACGTATACTTTCTGCGCGCGCGTGTGTCGCGAGATAAATACTGCTCAAAACGGATGAGTTAAAAAAATAAGATAAATAAAAGAACGACGAAGGGGAAAAAATGCAGTCGTCCGGGCCGCGTGTGCAGACATGCTATTATCAAAGGTGCCGCTATATTCCCGTGAATTGCGGTTGGTAGCGGTTCCAGTTTCCCGCGAGGACCGGTTCCCCTACCCGTCGTCCGCTTGCCGGGCGGCGGTGGCGGACGTACGCGCCGCCGCCGCCCGTGGTCGCGGTCCCGGTCTCCCGGCAGCGTCGCGTCGGCCGGCCGGTTACGCCAAAGAACCGGCCGCCGGTAGTAAGTAGTGTGTCTCCGCGGGTCTACGAAATACGTGCGCCGCACAGGTGTTCGCGCTGCTACCACAATATTATAATAATATATCATAATCGTACACGTACTGTTACTGTCCATATTACAATAACCATATCGGTTTTCCGTACGAAAATAATTGCCGACAAAATAAAAGGCGCTTCCGCAAATAGTGCACGGGAAATTTTTCGTCTCGTCGTGGTTTCGTTTTCCCGTCACCGCGATTCCGCGGCACTGTTCCGATTGTCATAAGATTCACTCGTCGCTGCGGTCATCCGCGCTGTATCCGTGCGGTTGTCGTGTCGCAGCCGCAGCCCACACACGCGCGCCAGTAATGTGCGACCGGCGACTCGCGAAAAACCACTAGACGAAAAGCCGACGACACATTGCACACGTGATACGAGGAATATGATCGTTTTCGCGGGCCGGAAAAACGTTTGATCGACACGGCGGCACAGCAGTATCAGCCGAATTAGCGTTTATCGTCGCTTATACCTATACCGCCGGATACGATCTCTCCGACGTCTTCGTGCTATTCATCGAGCTCGAATCGTAAGTTTAGAAAACACCGGAAACATATTATCATCGTTATATTAATTACATTATTACACGGTATACATTATGATCAAGTAAGACGCTAAGCTCGGCGTATTCAGGACGTTTCGAGAATGGCCGATGTAGCCGGCACCCGAGAATTTTGGAGTGCGGGGCGGACGCATTTTTGGCGAACAGACGTTTCGTTGTAATTCGCGTAATGGGTAATTTGTTCGCTGCGAGCGAAACAAGAGTTTGAAAAAAAAATCATTGATCGCGGCCGCCGGGCATACGTCATTTATCATAATACAAAATATATATTTATTTATGTGTATATAGATCTATAGATATGATATACAGGGGGAGAGAGAGAGAGAGAGAAAGAGAGAGATGTTTAATATACTATCTCATCCGCCGCCGATCGTCGGTGTACGGAGTGTGCCTTCCAGACAGGCGGAAAAGTATATACGGATTTTCGAGGCTCCCGACTAGCATAATGATAAATCTATAATCTTTACATCCGTTCTACGATGATGTCGATAATAATAATAATAATAATAATATATATTTGCAACGTACACGTCCAAAGAAGGGCGGTGAGCATGTACATAATATGTTATACAGGTACACGAAACGTAAGCTGGGCCCGACGGGTCCGACTGCTGTAGACACGACATTATAAATAGTATTATGATCTACGCGTATACCACGGTAAACACAACCACGATATATGTTATTACCGCTCTCCGATTTTCGCCGTCTCGTTCGACGTTTTTGATTCATCCTGCACAACAACGTCCGCGACCTCGTTCCGGTTATATTTTTGGCCGGATCGCAATGCGTCGTGCGTTGACGCGGTGCTTATACCGCGAATACCTCGATGATGGTTGTCAATCGCATCAATGAATCCTCCCCCCCCGCCCCCCACCCCCGATAGCTGGAACCACCGCGGTCGGCGGCAGATTTTTGCGGACATTCGCGCCGTTTTCGGAAAAAATACCTTCTCACACTCGCCCGGTCGGAATTTCAGGACGTTCGGACGGATTTTCCGGTTACATAATCGCTACAACCGCGGATCACGCCTACCGCGCGTTTGTCTTGTCCGCCGCGGGACAATTAATAATGTTACGAATAATATTTTCTTTCCGATTTCATTATTAAACACCATGACAGTTGTAGGCACGCTATAAAATCGCAAATATCGTGTGCTCCAAGCCGTACCGCATCGGATACCAATACAACAACTGTTGTATTATATTATTATATACACACGATATACCGGCCACTAATAGACACACGACTAATTGGCGTGTTACTTTTATTGTGTACGCATTCCGTTACACGTCTGTAATCTCTGCAGTAACGCGTTGCCAGATACCTACCAGCGATTCGAATAACACGGATATATTTTATTATTATTATTATTATTAGAACACGGCTCAAAGTTATAGTGCGAGTTTTATGATTTATGTGATTTACGCTGTATAGTAATACTGGTTAATTGACTGCGGTTCCAATGATCATAAACGCGTTTCCATTACTACCTACACGTATTATGTGTGCATACAGGCACTGTGCACCTATACGCGCATATCATATATTTATGTTTATTTTAAGCTCTCACGGTTTTTCGGTGCATGTATAATAATTATTATTACAACCAAAAACGAAACGAAATGAAAAATAAAAACGTTATTTCACAATGATTCCAACTCGCATAACAAATCGACGACAATGTCGGTTTCGTATATTATGTAAATTATCCAGTTATTCGAATGGTGCTGCAGCAACGTCGAAGCTCGTTAAAATATATTACCGATCGATATCAAAGCGTATCATCGGAAACAGACGGATTAACGAGAAAATAATGTAGTTTACACGCTATACCGCTTTACTGACTTAAATTTCAGCAAACCTCGAACGACAAACCATTATGTTATATTATAGTTAATCCTTCTAAATTGACCATTGCGGTTAGCCACACATATACGGTCCAACCCACTTCGTGTACCGGAGTATACGATCATTATACTTAATATTTTATTTACAAATTACAAGTCAATTGCGTGAACCTCGTTAGTAGGAGCAGGAGTAGTCGTAGTAGTAGTAGTAGTAGTAGTAGTAGTAGTAGTAGTAGTAGTAGTAGTAGTAGTATAGTGGCGTATAGCTGGTAGTAGAGTAGTAGTAGTAGTAGTATATACTATATAGTAGTGGTAGTACACTGTACACTATTGAAACGTCATAATACATAGAATTACTCATACGATTTCTTCCGGATAAAAAGACGTACAGTGAGTGGAGTAGAGCGCCCCCCTCCCTAGTTTGAGTAGTTTGAGCTGTACCAATGTACAACGATCGCAAGCAATGGTAATTTTTAAATTTTCAATTCCTATGGGAGTTATTTTCATAACCGAGAGAAATTTTCCATGCCTCCAAAAATGGGTCTAAATAGACGTTATACATAGACCGCGTCCGATACCTCGTCGGCGAGTTAAGGGATAATCGTGGTTCTACGCTACACTTTTCACATGTGCGCGTGTAAGTGATAATGTACACCTATATTATGTACCTGGAGAATAATGAATAACAACAATAGCCGTAACATTTTGTCGCTTTGCAATAATAACGGCGGAATTCGTAAGAAAAGAAAAACGAGTTTTTAATAGTTTGCCAAACTCATAACATCTCCCACCACAGTATATACACCTGTACAGCAGCTGCAGTGGCGCAGGTATATCATGCTTCACGTCTTCTTGAAGGGTGCGCCGCGCCGTGGGAAAACTCTATACACCGTATACGTATCGTCGGCATTGTCAGTGTGTGTGTGTGCGTGTGTGTGTGCGCGTGTGTGCGCGTGTGCAGAGAGTCGATGCCCTGTCTGTGGTCACCTCTCTTCCGGCCCGGGCCGGCTCACGGGTTGTAGAATGCCGTTGGGTCAAGGCTATAGATGCTCCCGCCGCGGTGATCGCCATACAGACTCGCGCGCCCCGCGACGCTTTCGTAGGCCAATAATTCTCCCACCGCCGGCGTCTTCGCCGTTGCCTCCGCCGCTCCTCGCCATCTCGATCGCCACCGCGTGTGTGTGTGTGTGTGTGTGTGTGTGTGTGTGTGTGTGTGTGTGTGTGTGTGTGCCACCTGACCTAAATCAACTTACCTGATCCGCCCGAGGCGTATAGGTGCACGCCGACGAAAAATATACGAGAGAAAAAATCGACTATATGTACACACACACGTTCGCTGTAATACCTACGACCAGCCAGCGGTAACCCGTTCGCACAAAACTTTCTGCCAGTCTTGTAATCATTTCCTAGTCCACTTATTAGTCATACGCACTCATATATGTGCGAGCGCGCTTACTTGTACACTCGCAGACGCGCGCACACGTGTCCGGTGCGATGTTTTCAGAGCATAAAGCGCGTAATTTGTATAAATTTAATACGCTTCGGCTAATTGTTTCCGACAATACGTGCATGTAGTTATTACAATTATATAATACTGTATTATATGGTTCTGTGAGTCCCATACGTAAAATTAATTAAATAAAAAACGCATATACCTACCTCATTCGGCGGTGTATCGCATATAGACTGAATCGTTCTTCTCGAACCAACCGAAGGCTTTCATTTTTGTTGTTGTTGTCGGTATAGAAGATATATTGAATATTTACACTTGCACGGGGCTAGGAAGAATGGTATAGAGAACACAAGAATGTGTGATCATGTGTATAATGGGGATCTGTACCTCAACAGTAAATTATCCGATTGAATTTGTATGTAATAATATGTATGTTGGTATAATATTCGACGGAGACGACTATTATACGCATATATGTATATATATATATATATATATATATATGTATGAACGAGAGAAGAAAATAAGTATTATCCGTCTATTAATTAGAGGTCCGGTGGGGAGTTTAGGTATTTTCGGATTCGGTCAAAAAAAAATGCCGTCTCCGGTAATCCGGTTAGGACATCAGACAGGTTTGATAATGTCAGCCCCGGGGGCCCCCTCCCCTCGCGCAGTGTGCCCCTCGCGTACCACCACATTATAATATTATGTGCAGCACACGCCCGATGCATAGGTATAGCTCACGGACGCGCAAGAACGCACGCTCAGAAACTTTGGAACGTCCACAGCCGTCAGTTAATTTTAAATTCATAACAGGTCCGATACTGATTGTAAGAATGTACGGAATTTGACCGACTGATGGGCACGCTTTCCAAATAATATTATAATATCTACGCGTCTCGTGCAACAACAAACACGCGTGCAGGTGCGATGACGTCACCAGCCGCGTGGTATAAACCCGCGGTCATCCGTCGCTGACCGAAGCACAACTTTACCGAGAGACTCGGCTCGGAAATCCGACTTTGTCCCTCGGCGTATAGGTACATCCGGCTTTCGGACAGGGAGGTCATAATTATTGTAGCCATCATCCCTCAATCAGCTTTTTTATCCGATGAGCATTAAAACATCGTTATTCTTTCGGCGATTGCAAACGTGGTAAAATCATAAAATAGAGTATAGACTGTAGAATAACAATCTGCACCCTGCAATTCGCCGCCGGAGACAAGGACGGTCGAGGTTAAAAATGATCTATGCGCACATCACTGTATAGAACCCAACTCATCGATCACACTATTAATCATTCCAAAGTCTGAAATCGAACGAGAGCCCTTCCCATTCCGAGCATGCCCTTATTCTCGCACTGATTATTTGTTCGTGTTCACTAATTTACATGAGCACACACGCGTGTTTTCACTATGTGTACATGTTGTGCACACACACGCTTTTCGTGTGCCGACCCCGCGCCTGACCGTCTCGCAGCACGATTCCACGACCGGCTGAATCAAACTCGCGTATATACATATATATATATATAAGCCGTGTACATGGTATTATTGTTATTATCAAACACGCGCATTGTCGCGACGTGACGGCAATGTTAAAATTCATTAAATCCAGGACGGAACTTACAATGAGCCCACGGGCGAACAATGGGGACCAGCGGC